TACAAGTGCCAGTAGGTTCTGCTGCTGTCCTCACTCCTCTCTCCATCACAGGTAGCTTCAGGCACCCTACCGGCTCTTACTCTTTCTAGGCTATAGGTGGGGTTTCTATCTCCCTGTCTAGACTTCTCATACTTGGAGGGCTACCTTGTAGATGATCCCAGAACACTCTCTGCTAGCAACACCTGGTGGTGGGCTTGGGACTTGTTCCCAGGACACATTACATTAAAGGGTGAGATGTGACTGCTTCTCCTGGCAGATAAATCCAGATTCCGTGAGGGCTCCTCTTGGGGAGCACCTCTCTCCATTTGAAGGGGAGGGGAGGAGAAACATGACTGAGTCCCATTCCAAAAATCTAATGGCTCGCCACCTTTTCTTCCATGACCTGGAGGTGGGCAAGGTGGAGTGACAGTGAAGGGCCTCTTTGGGTACCGCATAGTAAGACCTGTGTGGGTGTGTCTGGAACTCCGATTTAGAATGTGTGATACCCGCCACCTAGTTTACAACTTTGGGCTTAAGCAGACTTCAAAGGCAATAGAAAACATCCCTCCTAGTGCTCGGTTACACATACATTATCCACTCATGATAGTCCTAAACTTGGCTTTTGCGTTTGAATGATAGTTTATACATTTCTTCAATAGCTACATAACATTTTTTATGGTTCATGCGGCTGTAACACAGTTTACTTAACCCTTCTCATACGACAGTTGTTTATGTGGGTTTCTGATATTACAGTGCTGCAATGAAGAATCCTTTAATAAATACTCTGTGCCTTTATGTAAATATTACTAGAAGTGTGATGGCTGACCAAAGGGTCCATGCATTTAGATCAGGAAACACATTTTGCGTTTTAATAGGTGGACCTAATTACCCTTCAAAAATCGTTGCCATTTATGCTCCTATTAAAAGTATCTGGGGCATGGGCTCCTCGAGGTCAGGGTGCATGTTTCAGTCACTATTGTTCCCAGTATGTGTCAGTGGCAATCCTGGAATGAACAGGTGAACCCAGGGATTTCCCTGGCCCTCGACATCTGTGACGGATGCTCGCAGGGCTGAGGTGCCCTCTCTGATGAGCGATTGCCCCATAACTTGGCACATACTATCCTATTCTTTCATGTTCTAAATCTCAGCCTGTTTCTTACCTTTTTTTTTTGCCACTTTCACATGGTTTTTGAGATCTCTCCCTATTCCTAGATGTAAATGATGATTTTTGACCACTGTGTAATGTTTCCTTATGTATTTATACTAAACCAGTGGTCCCCAGCCGGTGGTCCGCGGACCCCAGCTGGTCTGTCAGGTTTGAAAGGTTGGCGACCGCTGTATTGAACTATCTGGATATGGGTATCTAGGTTGCCTACAACAACCCACTCCAATTCCTAGCCACCACCTCACTCAAAGTATATCCTTATCCTTGTTTTCTGTCTCTGTTTGTTTAGTGTTTAATGATTGCAAGCATGGATTCATTGCTCTCTTAACTACTTTGCCACTTCCTTTCAGGCAGATAATCATAGTGTCTCCCTCTTAGGGTGGCTGTGTGCAGTGCTTAGCACATTGTCTGGCAAACAGGACATTCTCTGTAGATAGTGTAAGTGCTCCAGAGCCTAAAAGACATTAGGATTTTAATAAATACCAATTACAATAATGAATGTTTAAGTACCTCTGGTGATCTGCGGCCTCCTTCCCCATAAAACTAGGTCCCAGAACACTTGAATCATGAGGTATTCAGGAGATAGTAATTATGCTCCTCAGCGGTAATCCTCTCAAATTATTCCCCTTTTACAGATGATAAAACAAACTCAGAGAGGTTATGCATCTTGCTTATGACCATTCAGCATAGTTAGTGGCAGGACTGGGGCTTCAACCCTAACTCCAAAGGTGTTATTTTTAGTACCATGTTATATTGCCACCCCCTCTCCTCTGGGGAAGTGTATTCAGATGATTTCAGCAACCACAGTCTTTGTTTCTCTGTGTGTGGATAACAGAGAATTGAAGACCCGATTAATGTTCACTGAGACCTTGTGCCAGGACTGTTTTTAGGGTGCATTTGTATGCATTACTGAAAGATGCTCCCTTTGGGTGACTATAGCTGTGGACACATAGCTTGGCCATGAAAGCCAGGCTGTATTCTGGGCTCTGCTTGTCCCCTAACCTGGGCACTTGTACGCACTACACACACTGCCCACGTGTATTCTGAGCCACTAGGAACTTGCTGTGTGTTTCCTCAATGCCAGTCTGTTGATTCTTCCTCATCACCACAGTCCTGGGGGCCAGATACAGGTCCACCTGACAGATGAAGACCCGGGAGTTCAGAGTTGTGATATTTCCAAGGCCACCTGGCCTCAAGGTGCAAATCCAATGTTCAGTGGGCTTTTAAAAAATCCTCACCTGATATGTTTATTGATTTTTTTTAGAGTGAGAGGAAGGGAGAGAGAGAAAGAAACATAGAGTGGAGAGAGCATCCATCAGTTGCCCCTCAGGTGAGTGACGGATATGGTCCCCGTTGGAAGTCCAGAAGAGACAAGGTTCCAGGCAGGCTGACACCCTCTGGTCAGGAGTCACCAGTGAGCTTGGACTGTGGAATGAGGCTGCTTGAAGACTATTATAAGCTCCTGGAATAGGCTGTAGGCTTCAGTGCAGACACTTCTGCCGGCCATGAGTTTGACATGCTTGCAAACGGTATCTAACCCGAGCGCTGAAGGGTGAGCAAATAGTGGAATGGGAAGAGAGTTTCGGGCTGAAGGCACAGTCTGTGCAAAGGCTCAGAGCAAGTCAAAGCCAACTTGTATGAAAAACAGAAAGGGTAGTAAACAAAAGACCCTACAGGGATTTTAAAAAATTTAAAGCTATATTCATGCTTTGGCCTTTATTCTGGGGGCATTAGGAGGCCTGGAAGAGATCTGACCAAGGATTAACCTATTTTGAAGTTGAGAAGGGTCACTTTGGCCCATTGAAGAAGGGAATGAGGGGTGGGGCAGAGTTTCTTGCAGGGAGCTCCATTAGAAGGCTGTCTAGAGGTGGGGCTGTTTAAGGAAAACTAAAAACCCAAGTCTAACCTTTCTTGTTAGAGGAAAGCCCTTCTCCTTCCACTCCCAGTGAAGCTACCTGGAATACCTGGGACCTCTGAGGCCCCCGAGGTAGTGAGAGCCCAGGTTTCCTGGCTCCCCCACCAATGCTCTCCCTTCCAAGAACCAGTCCTCCCGCTTCCCCATCTTGCAGCTACTCTTTCCTTCCAACATCCCATGGGCCTCCTGACCAATCACACATATTCTTTTATGCCCTTCACTTTCCCTTCTGACTCTCCTCTGATCTTCTCTTTACCTCCCAGGGGCAGACACAGAGGTGTATCTGTTGGCTTCCTGGCCAGGGAGCCTGGTCTGGTTTCTGGCCTGGCACTTCCCCTCACTCAGAAGGCAGAGGGGCAGTGAGGGAGTTCTGGTTGCTGAAAGGTCTTGCTTAGACTCAAAGAAGGAAAGAGACATGGATTCTGTCTCTTCCAGTGGTAGCATGGTGCCTTGTCTCAGTGGTTCTCAACCCAGCTGCCCAGTAGAGTTACCTTATGGGGCCTTTAAAAAAAGTCAGTACCCCACCTGGTTCCCATCTCTGAGAGACTGCATTATCTGTCACGGGAAGAATCCAGGCATTTGTAGTTGTAAAAGCTGAGGTGCAGGTCGGGTGCAGGAGCACAGCTCTCTGGGCTTCATGTTTCAGCGATAAGCTGAATCAAGGTGCAATGCCAGCTTTGGCCATTTTTATTTATCTTTTGCTGGGCTTCCCTCAGACAAATCATTGCCTCTCTGAGCCTCATCCATTTGCTCGTCTGTATGAGGAAGTTAATAGCATCTGCCTCTTAAGATGGTTCTGAATCAAATCAAGCATTTTCACAGAGTTAGGGCCCACCCAGGAGTTTTCTTACTATTATACCTTCAAGTTAGGCAGTGTCCTCCCCCTTGGGTTCTTTTTCATGCCCAGCTACCTTAGTGTGAGCTAGATGATCAGATTTCCAACATTCCGTGGTGAAAGATGTTCTAAATGAGGGAGAAAGGTACAGTGTTAAAATTCTCACACAGTGATTAACTTGAGTAAGTTTGTGTGCACAGCCTCACCCATTTCCTCTCTCTGTGCCCTTGGGGCATTTTACACAGGATTTGGGGCCCCTGCAAGTCCTTTAGTACCAAGCATGCATCCTTAGGGAGGATGGAGAGAGAATTCTTCTGGATAATACTTTAATACATGGTTTCAATGCCATTATAAAATAAGACTTTCCATAGCTCTCCTGCCAAAGCACGTTCCATTGGCCTCTCAATGACTGATGACTGCCTGTGTCGTCTGTTCTGATGGGTAGATTCTCAGTGTCTCCCTCTCTGTCTTCCTTTGGACGTGATTAAGGAGGCCAAGGAAATAGGGGGTGAAGGGGGGGTGTCAGTCCTTCCGGGCACCCTTAGTTCAGTAAAGAACTCAGTCCCCTTACTCCTGGTATGCAGCTATGTTTGCTGGGCACAACAGAAATGTCAACAGAGGAGATAAAGGTCAGTGTAAACACATCATCCCCCAAGGAGAATAGTTTGCAATACACTCTTCATTATGAGTCGCTCTCTCCAAAGAGTAGAGAGACTCAAAGAGGTAGGCTCCAGGACTGCCGAAACTCAGTTGCTGAGAGAGGCTCAGAGAACACGGGGCAGCTGATAGGAGAAGCCCATGTCTTCCCAGTAGTGCCCAGAGATTTCTAACCCAAAGGAGATTGTATTGCCTTTCCATAGCCATGGGCTCTCCATTAAGACAGAACACAAACACTGCTTTCCAAGCTGAGCCCTCAGTGGATTCAGCTAAAGAGTCCAACAGCAATGCCGTTTCTGGAAGTTAGGCTATTTTAAGAAGTAGTGCATTATCCCCAAGCATGTTTAAGTGCTGTCATAGCACCTGAATGTCGTAAGCATTGAATCGCTTCATAATTCAAGAAACAGGAGTTGTCCCCGTGAGCATCTATTTTTCCTATTTTACCACAGATACATGATGGGCAGAACTTATGAACTGCAGGTATGGATTGGTGATTGAACTGCTTCTCACTCCGGCAACTCCAGGTAGCATTCTCCAGGGCGAGTAGCTGCGTGGCTTTTGTGGTGTGTCCTGGAGAACTGAATGACCAATGCACTATTTAAAGGTATTCATTATGAACAGTTATAAAAATGATAACTTCAACACTTATCTTTATTGTTTCCAATAAACTTTATTTAATGGTGGTTAAATAAACGATGGTTAACCTGGCAACACAGTTAGTGAGATAAAATATGCCCAGTGTAATACATTTAAAAAGCAGGTAAGAAATGATAGTCTTTCTTTTATCATGGGAAAGTATAATTTTTCCAAAAGGTAAAAGTATTTTGGGAAAAACTTAATTTGTTTTTCAAAGGGGAATGAAAATGGTTCTGGTCTAGTGGCTACTCTGATTAGCTAGGAATCGCAGTGTTTGTCAAGTTCAGGTCTAGATATTCTCGGACTGTCATTTTGATTGGTTTTGCCCTTTCCTGAACGGCTAATAATATCAGCAGCAACTACCATAATTATACTATATAATAAGAGAGGAATATGCTAATTATTCATAACAACCAATAGCATAACAACTGGCTCATGGATCTATAGGAGGGTGAGGCAACTAACTACAAGCGGGCAGCAGAGAGCTGTAGGATGGGGCAGGGCAGCAAGCTGTGAGGGGCGAGGGGAAGGGGTGAATTACAGGAGGGTGGGTCAGCAGGCAGAGAGCTACAGGAGGGCAGCAGTGAGCTATTGGCACATGGGTTTGTGTGCAGGGTACTAGTTAATGTTATAAAAAAAAATTTGAAATATATTTTATTGATTTTACACAGAGAGGAATTATAAAAGGGATAGAGAGTTAGAAACGTCGATGAGAGAGAAACATCGACCAGCTGCCTCTTGCACACCCCCCACTGGGGATGTGCCCGCAACCAAGGTACATGCCCTTGACCGGAATCGAACCCGAGACCTTTCAGTCCGCAGGCCGACGCTCTATCTACTGAGCCAAACCGGTTTCGGCTAATGTTATAAATATTGATATTGGTAGTAATGTGGTCAAATTGTAGCTGGCATCAGTAGTTTTGCTCACCCAGTATCCCAGCCCCTGCTCTTGGTGATATATAGGTTCCCCTTTGGATAATTTCCAAGCCCATTGGATTTGGTCTTGGTTGAGATGTCCAAATGCACACCCTTCTTTGGAGGGTGACTCAAAGGTAGTAAAGCTAATTCCTTCTCAGTGCAACCCCTTGAAGGTACTATCCTTAGTTCCTGTGACTTACCTGGGGTCGCTCCTGACTCTTATTTCCTGGTTCCTTCCAATGCGTGGCCATTCCATGTAACTTTGATTCTGTCAACTCTCTTAGAGCCACCCAATACATTTTTAAAAATTTCTTTACAAGTTAACCAGAGGTGATTTGTTTGCTTAATAATTAAAGAAGTCTAAATACTTCTGGGAGATAATATTATTAATCATAGCTGTGATTGTGATTTTCATTACTTCCAAGTCATTGTAGTCATAACTAACATTTACTTACTATTTGTTATGTCCTGGACACTAAGTGTTATCTCATTGCAGCATCCTCATGACAACCCTGCAAGGCAGTGGGATCCGCATCCTTATTAGCCCATTGTGCAGATGAGAAAACTGTGGCATGGAGAGGCCAAGTAACCTGCCCAGAGCTGGTAAGTGATGGAGCCAAGTCTCAGATGCAGCATCTTCAATTCTGGCACTCACACCCTGGATCACTACACTGCTTCTCTATCAAATGGCTGGGACCAGATGTGCCTGGCAACGTGCTAATCACTTTACATCAGTCATCTCATTTCATTTTCACAAAAGCAATATTATCCTCCAGAAGCTGAGAGAGTTGACAGAATGATAGGTTACATGGGATGGCCAATCATAACTGTGATTGCAGCCACTAAGATGAGGAAACAGGGACCCAGTGGGGTTAAATGCTTTGTGCAAGGTTGCTCAGCTACCAACATTCTGGAGCAAGGCCATCACACCGAGGAAGATCTGTGCCTGTCGGGAGAAGGATGAGGGAGAGGGCCAGGTCTGCTCAGACTTAACCTCACTCACTGTTAACAGAACAAAGAAACTTTAAAAAATGCTGTAAATCAGGCTGGCTTTGGAGAGTTCCCAGGAGGCTTGAGCAGAAAGGGAAAACTTCCTTGTGCTGAGATAACTTTGAACCACATTTTTAGGCCAGCTGTTTTTTCCCTTCTTTTTTTTTTTTTTTTTCTTGGAGAATTCCAGGCCTGATTAGATCATGCTCTGGATTCACGTCAGCCAAGGGCCACGGTTTCAATCACTGTGCTCCCGATGACCTTACATGAACATCTAAGATAAATCTATTTATTTTACACTGAGATCATGGAAAATAAAGCAACCCCTGCTCCTCTCCAGCAGACCTTGCTTGCCAAGTCGGTTTTCATGACATACTTATATAGTTAATTTATCTTCTCTGAAGAATGAGATTTAAAAACTAAGAAAGAGTTACTAATATTAGTGCTTGTGTCAAAACAATGATTAAAGCCAAGAGCATTGTCATAGACCCCTTCACCAGAAGTGGCAGGTTGATGTGTTTCCAGAAGCGGGAATAGAGACCCCCAAATTCCACTGAGTCTGGGGAAACTCCCAGTGGCTGTATTTTTAGGGCTGTGTCGGGAAATGAATGATGTGGAAGACACTTGTGTGGCTGCTGTTTGATCTACACCATGGACACCAAATTCCACCAGCATTTATGGCTCATACCCCCAGACTCCTAAGTAAAGTGGAATTGAAATTTTGCAATTTGTGCCCAAATTTCAAATTTGTGCCCAAAATAGTAGCTAGGACCATTTTGAGAGGATTTTCTGGCTGGGATAATTTTCTAGAGAATGCTGATGGGGGTGAAGTAGAGAGTATTCATGGTGAGAGCAGAAGAACAGGTAATTTATGCTTTGCCTTTTTAAGCCATTATTTCTAGACCCCAATTTTTCACAGCTTTCTGAAACATGGAAAGATAGAATTACTGTTAGCTTAATATCTCTACATTTCATTTTGTCTTCTGTAAAATGGGTTTAACCTAGCGCCTAACTCAGGCTAGATGGGAGGAGTACATGAGTTAATAATGCATGCACAGTGCCTGGCATAGGGTAAGTAGCCAATAAATGGTAGGCTCTTCTTACATTACCCCCTCCCTTCTGCTACCGACCTATGTCATTCAGTGTTCTCATCTATGGCCACTGGTCTGCCTTCAGGGGTTCATGTCCTATTTAGATTATTTCTAAATCCCTTCCTGTGTTAACCTTCTATTACCCATGTCCATTCCCCCCCATTTTATAGGTGGGAAAAGAAACATGGTCTGTATGAGGAACTGAAAAAAGACCAGTGGCCATAGATAAGAACACTCAATTACACTGGTTGGTAGCAGATGGGAGGGGGATAATTTAAGAAGAGCCTACTATTTATTGGCTACTTACCCTATGTCAGCACTTGGCAAGTGCTGCTCCCTTCACCTACAACACTCATGTCTCATCACCTAGAACACTAATGTCTCACTCCACTGTCTCATCACTTGAACACTAATGTCACACTCCACAGTCTCATTACCTGGAACACTAATGTCACACTCCAATCTCTCACCACCTGGAACACTAATGTCACACTCCAGTGTCTCATCACCTGGAACACTAATATCACATTTCACTGTCTCATCACCTGGAACACTAATGTCACACTCCACTGTCTCATCACCTAGAACACTAATGTCACACTCCACTGTCTCATCACCTGGAACACTAATGTCACACTCCAATGTCTCATCACCTAGAACACTAATGTCACACTCCACTACCTCATCACTCAGAACACTAATGTCACATTCCACTATCTCATCATCTGGAACACTAATGTCACACTCCACTGTCTCATCACCTGGAACACTAATGTCACACTCTACTGTCTCATCACCTGGAACACTAATGTCACACTCCACTGTCTCATCACCTAGAACACTAATGTCACATGCCACTGTCTCGTCACCTAGAACACTAATGTCACACTCCAATGTCTCATCACCTGGAACACTAATGTCACACTCCAATGTCACATCACCTAGAACACTAATGTCACACTCCACTGTCTCATCACCTGGAACACTAATGTCACACTTCACTGTCTCATCACCTGGAACACTAATGTCACACTCCACTGTCTCATCACCTAGAACACTAATGTCACACTCTACTGTCTCATCACCTGGAACACTAATGTCACATGCCACTGTCTCATCACCTAGAACACTAATGTCACACTCCAATGTCACATCACCTAGAACACTAATGTCACACTCCACTATCTCATCACCTGGAACACTAATGTCACACTCCAGTGTCTCATCACCTAGAACACTAATGTCACACTCTACTGTCTCATCACCTGGAACACTAATGTCACATGCCACTGTCTCATCACCTAGAACACTAATGTCACACTCCAATGTCACATCACCTAGAACACTAATATAACACTCCAATGTCTCATTCTCTTCATCCTTTAATGCTCAACTCTGATTGTTCTTCTGATTCTCTAAACTAAGTCTGTGTTGAAAATAATTTAGTTGTCAATTAATTAATTAATTATTAATATGTATACACAGGAACATATGGTCTGACCTGTGCTCTCTGGGTTGTCAGGAGGGAGCAGAGATGAAAAAGTCAGGCCTAGATTCCAGGCTTCTTTACTCGAAATCCTGGTTCTCCACTCTTTGTAACCACTTTTTAATTCCCATTCCCAGAGGGAGGAAAATAGCTGTTATTCTACCTTGTCCTTTTACAAGGCTCTTTTCATTAGTTCTTAAAATAGGACTATGCTGATTTTCCAGTCTGAGCATCTGGCCTGTATTTTTGCTTCCAGGCCCCCTCCATTAACCACAAGAAACTATTTTCTTTACATTATGCTATTTTATTCCCTTGTCACTTTGGCTCTTATTTGTCATCAAGTTCCGAGTTTGAGAAGTGACCAGTTACTCTTTCTGTCACAGGTTTTCATTGGAGATCAAGTCCTGCTTCTAGAATGCGTTGGGGGAAGAGTTGGGGAAGATCATTCTCCATTTTTACCCAGGATTGTGGTTTCTCGTCCCGGATAAGACACTTGGAGCACAGCGGTTAGTTCTCTGCCCTTTCTCTCAGGAGACACATACTCTCTCTCTCACACACACACTCATGCATTCCTTTGATTTATCCTATTTGCTAGGCTGATGGAAATTACAGGCGCATATATATGAACGTGTATGTGTGTATGTTGGGGAGCAGGAGGCATGTCTCAGCCGAAAATTGAATTCAAACATGTCTCTAAAAAAGGTGGGGGGACCACCAGGAAGTGATTTGTGGGAGGCCCTCCCACCCTCTGGGAGGAAAAGGGGGGAGAGAACCCCATGAAGTCAGACTCAGATTGCCTCTGTGGGAAAGAATGAGGACCTACTTGTACCGTGGACTCTGACCCTTAGGGGCAGAAGCAGGTCCTTTTGAAGGTCCGGGGGACCTGGTATGACTGTGAGTGAGTGTGGGAGCGGACCATCACCTCACTTCAGGTGAACCAGGATCTTCTGGCACTTGGAGGCCCAGGAGCTGTAGGAGAGGCAGATAGCACCCTAGCATGGACATTGCCGGTGACTTAGTATCAGCAGCAGCTTCACAGCCACATTGTGTTCTCAGGGACTTTACCTGCTGGAACTGCGGGTGAGTGGGTGGGAGAAGGGAGAAACCCAGCAGCTGCAATGGGATGCATTGTGTCTCTGGTAACTGACTGGTTTGTGAGCAGCTGGGAGACACCTCCAGGGGACACTAGGGACACCAGAGGCTGAGATCTCATGGGACACCCATGTCTTCCAAGATCCTATGGACAAAAGCCAGTGATGGATGAGCATGGCTATAATCGGTTACCTGTTTTGGGCCATAGACCAGGGAGACCTGAGAAATTCAGATCCATATAGAACAAACCACTGAAGTCAGAGGTGAGAGAAACCTTAGAGATCAGAGTCTAACCCTTCATTCTGCTGAAAGGAAGCGGAACGCAGGGAGAAAGGCAAGTTTTCAAGGGCAGAGAGCTAAGACGGAGAACTGAGTTCTAGCCTCGCTGTCTTTGGTGCCTAGGGAGTTTGGGGAACTTACATGTATCTGATATTTCCTGAAGACCACTAAGAGGCAAGCAGCCTACAGGTTGGGTGGGTTGCCACATATCCTGTGATTGAGGGACAGAAAAATGGCCAGCATGCCCAAAATGTTTCCTTACCGGGAAGGGAAAGTCCATAGTGACAACAAGAAAGGTGAGCAGATGCTGAAGTGGAGAAGGGGTGGAAGCAGAGGACAGTGACAAAAATGGGATCACTTCATATTTTAACTGAAGGCTCCTGGTCCATTTGCCCCCTCCAGGCAGGATTCCTGGGTTTCAAATGGCCTGATGTACCTTGGCCATGTGCTCAAAACTCCCCTTTCCCAGGACAGCCAATGTGCCCATCTGACCTCATGCTTAGGGTCTTAAGCCTTACTTCACTACACATACACAGCGGGGAAGAGGAGAGGAAGGAAAAAGAAATGAGAAAATGGGAGTGGAGTGAGGGTCAGTGCAGAGGAGGGGGACAAGCAGAGAGAAAGAGCAGGCATGAGCCATAAATTGCTTCCAGGGTGTAAGGAATCACAGACGCCCACCTTCCAGACCTCCTGGGGCCACTGTGTAATAGCATCCAGCCTCCTGGCTGCAGGTGGGCCTCTCACCTGACTCCCATTAGAGCTCCTTGCCTCTGGAAACCGGCATGATTTATGAATCCCTCTGGGCTCATGGCCAGGCAGCCACCCCTCACGCATCACATCCCAGCTGACCCCCAGTTGCCCTTCTTCTCGCACGTGGTGCAGCAGGTGGATTTGAATTTCTAATGACTGCAGACACCTGCGTTTCCCTGAGGCGCTCACCATGGTGATGGAGAACAGACTCGGGCCATACCCAGGAGGAAGAGCACCATGGAGGAAATATGAGATTCAGGCTTGTTGGAGGCATGGAATATCAGCGTGGACCCTGTTAGATTTCATTAACTGTTTACATTTCCCTGCTTGCATTCCACTGGTCACCTGCCTAGAAACACAAACCTTAAATGAGATCAGATTTTTCCAATGAAATATGATAAGAAAAAAGGGGTCCAATGCCAAATCACAGGTAAATTTGCCCAGTCCACCAGAGGGACATTCATGAGCAGCCCGGTGAGAATGTGGCCCTGGTCCAGCCTGACTTATGGTTGTCCAGAGGCCCTGGGAGGCCCACTGTGAAGGAGAAGGACTAACACAGGTTTACAGAGCCCAAGGGAAGTGGGAATAGTGTTGCATAGGCTTGGATTTATGGGGAGGTGGGGTTGCCTGCCAGATCCCTCCCAACCTTTGGAGAGTAGCACACTTCTCCTGGTTACGATTCTGTTGCAGCTCATGGAAACTCAAGATGGAAAGTTTGAGGCCCCTGATCAAGCCAGCAATGCAGAGGAAAGAGAAGACTTTGTTATAAGACCTAAATCCCTCAAGATGCAGCACAGTCCATGCTGCTTACCTCAAGTTGCTTAGTAAAGAGTAACCCCTTCATTCCCAAGGAGCGTTCCCAGGGATCAAGTCAGCCTAATCTGTGGTGCCAGCTCTTAGGGGCCAGCACTTCTCTGCTGCTGTTGCTTAAGAGGAAAAGTGGTCCTTGCTAAAAACTTTCTTGACTCTCCTTGTGAGTCTATTAAAAGAACGTTCCCCTCTACCCATAGTCTAGCCTATGACCTTAAAGGAGGTAATGTCTGTTCCTTTAAGTTCTTACTCCTCAAACTATAATACATAGTGTCATTGGCATCATTCGCATTATTTGGGCTCTTGTTAGAAATATAAAATCTCAGGTCCCTGGCCCAGTCCTACTAGATCAGAATAGAGCCATATCAGGGGCTCTGGGTTGGGCCTTGTTGCCTGCAGGCTATTTGGAGGTGGTGGTGGTTGATTGGCTCAGTAAGCAGCAGTCCGGGCTGTTGTGTTATGTGACCTCTATTTCTGCTAACATTGCCATTCTGTTCATGTGCCCCTCATGTCAGGTTTGGGTAGCTGATTGCAAATACTGGCTAATGTCACCCAGCTGAGTCATTTTTGTCTACTTAGTGACTTTTTCTTGGTAGATGCTTTCTTGTCTACCATGATCACGTTTTTTGGTCACTGCCATAGTGCTCACTGCCATATGCCTAGCCACATGCCTATACTGTAGGCTGCCTTGTCTCTCCTCATTTAGTCCTTTTCATTTCAGACTCCTGACCAGCTGGTGAGGCCAATCACCACTGCCCACGAGTTACATATGTTCTCACTTCAGGCCACTTTTCCTTCCACACAAAGCAGATGACTTGGTGCACCACTCAGAGCTCTACCCACTGGAAGGACTTTCCATAGCTCCGTCATTCAAGTCTGCTCTCTGATGTACCCACCATCCACTTCCAGCTGAGCTCACACTCCGAGATGTTCCATGTGGGAGACTTCTCCTTCAGCTTGTTGTATTGGTAAACGCCCCTCACAATGGCTGTAGGTGCAAGTGGAGAGAGGGGCACTGGACAGCCATGGAGTATAAGAGTCTGGGGTTCCTACTCATGAAGCCTGATCGTGCCCTCTGATTCTGCTTGGGATCCATGCTGGATATACAGTGTTACCTTAGGATGGCCTGCTATGGTCCTGTGTAACCTTTTAACTTGCAGGGTCTGATAGAACTAAGCTTATGGTGGGCAATTTTATATTAAGTAGAGGCCTGTTGCATGAAATTTGTGCATGGGTGCATTCCCTAGGCCTAATTGGTGATTAAAGCATGAGTAATCTGATGTGGAAAGGCAGGTCCCAGCTGACCTCTAGGCCCTGGGCCCCTGGGCTCCCATGCACCCCCTTTGCCTGATTCATTGGGCCCTGTCCAGCTCCCTCAAGGCCTGGAGCCTAGTGGCGGCCCCGCCCCCACCTCCCACCCCTGATTGCTATCTGCGGGGTGATGGATGGGGTGATCAGGCCCTACTCCCACCTGCATTGGCCTGGCACTGCCTGCTCACCTACTCCACCATCCAGGTGTGGTCCATTAGGGCCCACCCACTGCCAGGGCTGTGTTGCCAACACCTGCTATGTTCCGTGCCACCCCCTGGTGGTCAGTGCACGTAATAGCAAGCAATTGAACTCCCAGTTGAATTCTTGGTCAGGGGACAATTTTCATATTAGGCTTTTATTATATAGGATAGTCATTTGATACCACAGAATCAAATATCCCATGTCCATGAGGGCCCAATAACACTCTAGGGTATGTTCCTCAAAAGCAAATGCTATAGATAACATGGCCTTGGTCTAGAAACCCAGAGGTCTATGTTGTGATTCTCCCATTGGAGCTTGATATAAGATCCCTACTGCATCCTTTCCCACCAGTGACATCTCCAACACCAGGTGGCCTGGTGGGTCATGTGCTTCAAGTGGCAGAGCTATTTGAGAGCACATTTGGAGGTTCTAGCATGAGAGCACAGCTACCCTTTGAAGACCAATACTCTCCTCTTGGGGGAAGGGTGTCCTCTTTGACCCACCATACAGATTTGGGAGAATGCACATGGATCAGTGAGGAAGGAGAGGAACACTCGCTTAGTCAGCCAGATCAGCCTAATTCAACCCTGGTGATCAATGGGGTGACAAATGTCACAGCCAGATCACCCTTACATCTACAGCAGAGCTATTTGTACCATTGCCTGGACTGACTGCAGATCCCTTTCTTGTTCCAGGCCCCATACAAAGCCGGCTACCTTTCAGATTTCCTGGCATATGGGCTGGAATAGTATTGCTAGGTGTTGACTGTGCTGTCTCCAGAATCCAACCCAGGGAGGCCTGACAGACATCATATTTCATTCTTGGTGGTAGCGATGAAAAATGCAGCAATATGTCTTTCATTTTGGGCAGTATTTCTCAGCATGCCTCTGATCTCTAGACCCCTGAAAACTTTAGCAATGTGCTCTTCGTTGGGATTATCTCCCACCATCTGAAGTGAGATGCTTTCCCAACACCTCCAGTGTGCTAGCTAGCTCTTACTGTCCCTGTTCTGTCACTGATGTAATGACTCAATGTGATATTCTGCAGGATGTCCAGATGGTCC